TCCAAAAATCTAGAGGCTGAGGCAAAGAATCTCTGAATTTAAGGCCAACCTGAACTATAAAGTAGGATTTAGGATAGCCTGGATTACAGAATCCATCTCTACCTCTAAAAAAAAATAATAATAATTAAAACTGAAAAATAGTGTCAAGGGTTAAGAACACATACTGTTCTTGCAGAGGACCTGAGTTTTATTTCTAGCAGATACCTGCAACTACAATTCCAGCGGATCCAGCAGCATCATCTGGCCCCTGTGGACACCAACTGTACTGTCCGTGTACATGTATGTACACACACACACAATTAAAAATAAAATCTTAAAAAAAATAGGTATTCCATGAAATAAACTTCTCAGTTTAGGCCAGGTACGGCACTGCATTCTGTAATCTAAGCCTCAGGAGAAGGAAGCAGGAAAACAGCAAGTTCCAGGCCAACCCTGGCTAATCAGGTGAGACTATCTCCACATAACAACAAATCAAAAATCCAGGCCCTCCTTTAACTTCTGCATTTGGAAGGAAAAGAGATCAGATGACCTTTGTGAGCTCCAGGCCAGCCAGGGCCACATAGTAAAACCCTGTCTCATAAAACGAAACACAAAGAAAACCTTCTCAATTTAAAGAAATAAAATATATCCAGTACCCCTAGAAAAAAAAAAGATTTAAATAAATGCAAAAACATGAAAATTTTGTTCATTAAGAACCAAGATACCTTGATTTGTAAACATATTTGACATGGGGTTAGAGAAGTGGCTCAGTGGCTAAGAGCACTGGTTGCTATTCCAAAAGGCTTGGGTTCAATTTCCAGCACCCACAGGATGATGACTCAACCGTCTGTTACTCCAGGATTTTGCCACACAGTGGGTGGGGAATGCCTTTAAACCCCAGTCTTTGGGAGACACAGATGGATTTCTGAGTTCAAGGCCAGCCTACAAAGTAAATTCCAGAACAGCCAGAGCTACACAGAGAAACCCTTTCTTGAAAAGCCATAATAATAATAATAATAATAATAATAATAATAATAATAAGAAGAAGAAGAAGAAGAAGAAGAAGAAGA